TTGCAATATAGAAAGGCATTGAGTGCGTGATAAAAAAAGTCGACCTGATCCATCAAGATTTGCGTATTTTGGAATTGCAAAGCAAAATCGATCTATAAATGCACGTTTCAACTTAAAATTCTGCTTATTGCTCCCTTTCTCTCATCTTTGTACGATTCGAGAGAGAGAAACAGGAAGAGCGAAGAAATTGTTCTCTGGAAACAATGGTGAACGTAGCAATAGCGCGAACGAATATTGGCTTCAACTTGGAAGAAGCAAAATAAAATTACGAAAAGATGCGGAATAAGACATGAGAAGAAATAATAATAAGAAGAAATTAGAATTACATGATTATTTAGCTTTGCACATTGACAACCCAAAATAGCAAAATTATTTTTTTTAGCAGCGGGAGAATTTTAATAATCGTTTTTGCATTAAGCAACATTTATTAACATTTATTACAAATTAATCAAATTTGTTGTAACTTGTTTAAATGATATATATATATATATATATATATAAATATATAAATGATCAAATGAAATGAAAATGATAAACAGACCAATTCAACATAACTGTGTGCGTATACGAGCTATCCGAGTCTATCGGTTACGCAATACGAATCTCTTCGAAAAGGAAGACCACTAAAAAGTATTTCTGCGGTAAAGGCTGATCGGACTTTAACAGATAACTCAACAATATATAGTTTTTCATCTAAGCAGCCTGGCAAGGAACGATTGCCCTTGATGAGCCACAGGCTAATCGCCTGGAACGCGAGAATCAGACCGCAACCGAAGAAGCCAAGGGAAAGGCAGAAAAAGACGGACGAAAGCAGTGTCACGGAAGATCGAGGATTTTTCTGTGAATTTTACGCATCAGCGAAGCAGCACTGCAGCACCGGCGCGGTATGCTGCATGATTCGCAATGAATAAAAGATACAAATGTATACAACCAAATGCGGAATGTACGATGTATTTTTAAGTTCAATTATGCTTCAAGGATGACGCTGTCTCTTTTCATTCCAACGCAATTGTTATCTGTAATCTCACTTTTTTTGCAACGATATGTTGCGATATGTAATACGAAATAATCACGATGTGTTCGCACATTACTTTCAAACATATAATATAACAAAATTACAATTGCGGTGTAACGTTTATTTTTAAATCTAATGCAGCGAAAGCAAATAATCTATAATTTATCATACATATACATTCTCGGAATAGAACGTCAACGCGTACGTTGTAACGTGATAACTTTAATTTTCTATAACTATAATTTTAATTTATTTATAGATAATTTATTTATAGTAAAACTTGCTTTTTTACATGCAATAGAAATGGATGTACAACTAGAAACAAGGAAATCTTCCATACTCGCGATTATTACGATTTCCCTTGCCTATACGCTGATGAGATCACGCACGGAGTCAATTAACCCTCAATTAAAATCTACAATGATACGTTAACCTGCGATTAGGAATTAGTCGTACCCATTCATTACGCTTCGGATGGATAATGAGGGGCAGGCGTGGCAGCGGCGGAGAAAAGTCAAGTTAAGTTCGATGTTTTCAGCCGAAGATGCTGTTGGCCGATCACACGAGCTTTTCTTGCGGCATCTGACGCTCGTTAAATTTGGATCACCTGGGAAAATCCTGGTTTTCTCTTCCGCGATCGCTTCATTAGGATTTAAATCGGCGCTAGCGGATCTGTGGGCGTCGGTTACCGCTGAATGGAAATTGGAACTCGTGCGAACAGAACTTGAATATGCACCGCGACATTTATTGTGATGGAGGATCGTAAACCGCGAGGACGACATTCCTGTCGAGTCACCCGTGAAAAAGCTTCCGCGTTGGACGTTCATCGCCGTCTGCGGACGGAGTCAAAAAATCGGCACGCATCGCGAACGGACGCTCGTAAAATCGAGATTAAGATATATCAACGGGATTTAATCGTTCAATTAAGTGGGATGATCGATACGTTTCTCGATACGACGACGCGGAAGACGACGGAAGAGCATGCGACGCGTAACGAACGACTCTTTTCACCTGTCTGCGTTCCATAAATTGTCAAAATATTCTTTTTTATTTTTTTTTCAGTTTTTATAACGATCTTTTACAACGTCTTTTACAAGTTTTAGAAAAGTTTTACAAACGCAAAGAAGAAAATTGGTCTGTGGTTAATAAATTTTCGTCGGCAGTTATTAATAAAAATTTAAATAATTCTAAAATGATATTGATCGTCATTGAATATCTTTTCAGAAGGTTTTTTCAGAACAAAGTTGATCTCGAAGATTGATTTCAATCGATGAATCGAGGAAACTGGAGCGTTTCCGGGATTACAGTATACGATATACTGACAACGACGTCATAGCAGAGTTAAGGCCGGGAGGAATACAAGCTCTAAAACTAGCTGTAAATTAACCACACACTATGATCTGGTATTTCTTCGTATACATGTTTCTCTTGCTCGAGTATATATGTCACGTTATAAACGTACATCACTTGTGTGTATCGTAATGTATAGTTAGCATATCTTTAACGTTATATACGTATCAAAGCTTTGAGACATTATCTTATTCTATATGCAAGCATTTTTTGGACGAAACTGAAATTATATGCAATGACAATAAACATATCTTACGATCATCACGATTATTAATCATGTGTTTACACTCGACATTAATTTGCCGTTATTAATGAGCTTCTTTGTTGAAATAATACTAGCCAAGTAAGTTCGACAAAAGTTAAGAAAAGCCGAGTACGCACAAAGAGAGATATTGGAATAAATGGATCGGTCTGTACCGTAAGAGAACTCGAAAGCAAAATTCCGCTAAAACGGTAGCCCTCCGGACGGTGTGTACCTCCATTTAATTGAAGGCACTACGGTTCTAAATGCAATTCCGTTGCATCCAGGCATTGTACGGCACGCGTGTGCATGAATAAACGCACGCACATCAGCAACTGTCGGAATAGCTAGATCACCCGTGATCGCTTCCTTTCTCGGTGCATGCAAACCAGTGCACGATTCTCCTGAGCACTGTGGTTAATGTCCCGTTTGATTGGTCGGCGCTCCGATGGTACGCGATCGCGGTGAACGATCCAACGGCGACGATCGATCGCGAGATCGAGAACAATCTCGTCTTCGAAACCTCATCCTTTTTCGCTAATCCCAAATGATGAACGTTTGATGTACGATCTCACGTTTACCACGTTAAACTCTCGGGACGATCCTATCGATGTTTCAGAAGAAACGGTGCGACCTGTCGCACCGTTAAAAAAAATTAGAAATCTAAAGCGCCTTTAGATATATTTCAAAGAAGTTTACAATATTCTACACGTTTCATTTTCTTCTTTCAATTTTTAAAAAATGAAAATATAGTGCACGTGCAAGAAATATTTATATTAAAAAAATGACACGTTATATGTGAGGCATAGAATTTATTATGGTGAATCGTGCAGAAATGTCATGATTTGATTTTCAATTCTGATTCGTAATAATACGTTATCAAAAAAAAAAGATTTAAGACAGATTTAAGACAGATGCAGATTTATTTAAAAAAAATCAGCAGATTTTATGAGATATCGACCCAGCTATCAATATTACTGCTTATTGATATCAATAAAGAATCACAATAAAGATGCATGAGAACTTGGAAGAAACTGGGACAAAATGACGGGTGAGGTAAGATAATCAATAATTAATAACTCTTGAGATTGCCGACATAAGCGATAATACACAGGTGGATAGTAATTACGAAATAAGCTACTGTAGAGTATGGAGTAATAAATAATGCTATTCTAAAACAAGTCCTGCGTTAAAAGATGTTGTGTTTTCAATAGCTATACTATTATTTTACGCGAGATTTCAATATAAATTGAATAAGCCTGCAAATAGATTTGTTATTTTTTTCCAATCTTACAATTGTAATTCATTTATGTAATAAAATTGTATATGCTATGTGTTTAAGTAAGTTAAGGTAAGTTTAATTTAAAAACTTTTATAATTTAATTGATAATTCAAAATGTATCGACATTTTTTTTAGATTTCTCTGTATCAATTCTTTCTTTTTCTACATCCATTTCTTTTCCGTAAGAAGATTATACATTGTGCACAAAATGAAAGATCTAATACAAAAGAAGACAAATTATGCACGCCAAGATGATAGTAGTTTCTACTACTTGCGACGTGGCAAAAATGCAGCAGTAACACTGATTTAGGTTTGTAACGGGAGAAGATGGTATCCGGACCACGTTTCGTCCGAAAGAAAATGGCATAATGGAGTAATTATTATTTAGGCCGGTGTAACTTCTCGGAAGATCGGATACCAAGTAGTCGCATAATAGACTAACCAGATACATGTTGCCATCCCGCTTCGAACTGTATAATCGATTAGGCATTTTTGAGAAAATTCCTCTCGGGCACGAGATATGCTTTTTCGTATCGGCGTAGCAAATCGCGGCCAAGCCCGTGAAAAACGCGATGGATAATATTTCTGATCTTCACGTAAATTAGTCGGTAATCAGTACTTGATACGATAGCGGAAAATAATCTACCTCGGAGATCAACCCACGATTTCGTATCGAGGTAAATTACATGGATTCATAAACGCATTATTTTAATTTACCGGCCTGAGGGTATAATTAATGATGGACTGCGACGACTGTAATTATGTTAAGTATTTTTCGTAAAAAATTTTGCAGGCTGGATTATTATAATGCCAGACTGGTGTTGAATATTGCGAGAAGCGGGAATACAATGGAAAACAATTCGTCATGAAATTCCTGTGGCAAATTGTTCACTATAATTTTGCAGCATCGCGATAAGAAGAGTATGAAAATTACAGTAGAGAAAAGTATAATAAGATATTTACATGGGTATAAAGGAATCATTTTAAATAAATTATTTTATAGAAATATCCCCAGGTTCTCGGGCGTGTTATCGTAGTATCAAATAATTTACGTCTATCTATAATTTGTGTATAAGTTCCTGTACAAGTTAATATCGTTATTATTGACTTACAGAATGATCTTCCGATCCATTCTCGTGCCAGCCATTCTACCCGACCAGATCTCCTTTAACCCTTCGTCCGGTTTTTTGAAGCGGTTTTTGAAGCGAGGATCACCCGAGGTCTCTATCACGAATCACAGAATCACTCGTAGAAAGCGAAAGGTGCGCGCGAAACGTATACACGGATACGTACGACCGCGCGATTTCTGTTCACCACTCTGCTACGCAGGACAGGATTCTCCTCCACTTGCGCGCGTCCGACGCGCGGTATCCGTTTCCACTGCGCGGAAGTCAATCGGACATTCCGCGCTCGCGACGCGATTCCCGCGAGGACGACGCGGACAACGGTGTGGAGAACAGTGTGGCGACCGCGCACGGATAGTACTCTTCACCGCGAGTACCAGCTCTCTTTCTCTTTTCTCTCGTTTCTTTCTCTCTCTTTCTCTCTCTCTCTCTCTCTCTCCTGACG